CACCTATCTACATAAAAAATAAATCTAAAAGGATGATTTTTTTTTTAGAAGAGATTGCTACTGGGACTAACAGGAGTATCATATGTAATACACTGGCACAGTACTTGACACACACACACACACTCCCCTCCTTGGTGTGAGTTTTCATTATTTGTTGTTACTAACCATGAGTTCCAGAGCAGGACCCTTCTGCATGCTCACCACCTCTGTGGTAGGATGTCTGAGGTTGTTCTATTTGGGAAGCAGCTGGTGATACTATGCCATCTTTTTCAAGAGAACCACGTCACCCTGCCCCACCCCCACCTCCAACCCTCCCCCCAGACCTACAAACATTCCCAGAGCCTGTTGGGTTTTGTTTCACTATGTGAGTTTCCACATTCATTGTCCCGGGTAGAAAGCCAGCCCAGGAAGGGATCTGTGCAAGAATGTAAAGATGGAGAAATTGAGACTCCTAGCTCAAGATCTCATCGACTCCTCCTCCCTCCCTAGGGGCCAACTCCAGCAGCTGGGGAAGCTTGTCATTAACTCTCTCTATTATCTGCATTTTCTGCCTCACTGGTTCATCTGAGGAGGCAAATGGCTTTCAGTCATGTCTGGCACAGACTTGGTCTTATTGGCTTCTGGAACTTGGAAGGAGCTGGGACCACTGACATCTTTGCCCATCTAGAAAGTTTCCAGACACGTGAGATGGGGAGCTGGTGTGTCCTTAGCCAGGCTTGGTTCTGGGAACTAGTTTCCACCCAGTCATGACTTCTGAACCCAGAACCCCCTAACAGCATCTTTTTGAGGACCAGCCTTGTCTTCTCTGTCCACACTCATATGTTCACTCTCAGAGTTTCTTTTGTTGTTGTTGTTGTTGTTGTTGTTGTTGTTGTTGTTTTAGGTGTCTATTCAACACTGCTCCACAGGGCTAGGGGATGTGGCTTGAGTTTTGCTTGTCCAGTGACGAACTGCTTGCTTTGAGAAACTTTAGACTCCAGCCTCAGGCTCGCCATGTTTGAGAGGGGGATGGCTGGGCTCAGCAGTAGGGCATTTGCTTGGCATGTTCAAAGCCCTGGGTTTGATCCTAGCACTGAGGGGGAAAGTTAATAAAATAAAATTGCATATATTTTTTAATTTTTAAATTTATTTTTTATTTTATGTGTAAGGGTATTTGCCTGTATATGTGTCTGTGTACCACATGCATGTAGTACCCGAGGGGCCTAGAAGAAGATGCCAGATCCCTTGAAACTGGAATTACAGACAGTTGTGTGCTGCCATGTGGGTACTGGGAATTGAAACCGGGTCCTCTGGAAAAGCAGCCAGTGCTCTTAACCACTTAATCTCTCCAGCCAATGCATGTGGTGTTTTAAATGAGGAAAATGTTTGACATTTTGCTGAGGATAAATGGGACTCTCATTTGGGGAGTATTCTTCAGACCCTGCACAGGTAGTACCCAGGAATATTAATCCTATCCTCAGAATCGTGGGGTAGATGTTATTAGCATCCCTCCTTTGCAGGTGGGGAAACTGAGGCACACATTAATCACCCTTGAGTTAAGCACACTCCATACTGTGTCTTTCAGCTTTGATCTTAACATTCACCCTTTTTTGTTCATGGTTGTTTTGGAAATAACTCTCTTCTCTTTGCCCACTGCAGCTAATAAATCTTTCTCTACTCCTTTTAACTTTTTTCTGCTACTCTTTTGTTGCTTGGAGAGCTATTTTTGGTTTTTCATTCAAGGTGTCAATCTGTTGTATTCAGTTATGTTCTCTTTGGTCTTTATTACTGTGTCTAATTGTCCCCAACTCCTTTAGTCTCTCCTTGCTGAGCTGTCTTTTCTTCAACCACAGGGCAAGCTGAAAGTGGAGACTGAGAAATGCCTCACCATGGTTTGACCTTTGGAGAGGCTCTCTCTCCTTCACGAACCACACCCTCCACTTTCACCTCCTTTCTCCTGGCTCTCTTTTTCTCTCTCCCTCCATTCACTCACTCTCTTTCTCAAAAAAGCATCGTGGGGTGCTGTCCTTGGTTCTGACCTATATTTCTCTCCTTCAGCTGAAAGAGAAAACAGTTTACAATGGGAAGGCCCAGGATGCCAAGGGGCTGAGTGTTGAATCCAGGAACATTCAGACAACCAAGTTCTCTGCCTGTGATGTGGCCAGGGCAGCTGCAGTGCCCAACAGACAATGGCCTGGATCAGAAATGCCAGCTGGTCACTGCCCCTCCCCCAGACTTTGACTTCAGAGCTCCAGTGTTCAGACAGTGCCTTATCTAGGTGCCTCAGGGAATGCTGTGGGTTCAGTGACCATCCCATAGGGACCAGAACATGGAGCCCAAGCAGGATGCTGGGGCCGGAGATAAGGCCAAGAACAGAGTCCCTTTGGCACTCAGGTGCTGTTCATCAGACATCAACAGCCCCACAGCCCTGGCGATGACAGGCACCAGAGATAACAGGCCATGTGATCAGCAGCCTTAGAGGAAAGACTGTCACTGGCTCCCTGAGATAAGAGAACAAAGTGCAACCCCTCTATCTAGGGAAAGAGGAGCAGCAAAGGTTAAGATAGTCTCTGACCCCATATAGCTGCCAGGACCCCATCCCCTCTGAGGTCCCCAAGAGCTGCCTCCTGTCACCCTGGGGCCCTTTGACCACTTATGCAGCCAAGTCTTCTGGCCTCTATTCTTAAGAATTAATCATGTTATCTCTAGAGCCCAGGTATTAATGAGGGACAACAGACAAGAGGTTTCCTCCCCATGTCTCTGCCCCACAGAATCTGCCCAGGGAATAGAGCAGGGTGGGCAGGATAGAGTGAGTGGTCTATCCAAGCCATGGACTCAGCTTCAACAGCCTCTCCAGGATCATGAGCAGGCAGAGGAGTGGCCAGAGAGGGGCTGCAACCAACACCTGACATCTTCCTTCCTTCCCTCCTTCCCTCCCTCCCTCTCTCCCTCCTTCCTTCTTTCCTTCCTTCCTTCCCTCCCTCCCTCCTTCCTTCCCTCCCTCCTTCCTTCCCTCCCTCCCTCCCTCCTTCCCTCCCTCTCTCTCTCCCTCCTTCCTTTCTTTTTTTCTTCTTCCTTCTCACCCCTTTCCTCTCTCTCCTCCATGATCTCATACCCTATGTCCTGGAACTTACTACACACGAAAGGCTGACCTCAAACTGTCAGCAACCCTCCCTCCTACCTCGGCAGCCTCTGAACACTTCAGATTGCTGTTGTTTTCCAGATTCTAAGGGTTGAACCCAGTTCCTACAGATGCTAGGCAAGTGCCCCGTGCTGGGCAGTGCTGCGCAAACTTGACACAAACTAGAGAAATTTTAAACGAGGGATCCCCGATTGGGAAAATGTCCCACCAGACTGGCCCGTGGGCAAGCCTGTGGTGTGTTTTCTTGATTGATGGCTGATGTGGAAGGGATGGCACCCCTGGGCTAGAGTTCCTGGGTAATATAAGAAAGCAGGCCGAGAAAGCCACGAGGAGCAAGCCAGTGAGCAGCACTCCTCCATGACCTCTGCATTAGCTCCTGACTCTAGGTTCCTGCCCTGCTTGAGTTCCTGTCCTGACTTCCTTCAGTGATGGACAGTGGTGTGGAAGTGAAAGAAACCCTTGCCTCCCCAGGTTGTTTATGCTCATGATGTTTTGTTACAACAATAGAAACTTTAGTGAGGACACACCCTGACACTGAGACATATCCCCAGCTCTTGCTATCTTCATTTTCTGGGTTCTTCCCACTAGCACTTTCTCTACTGCCCATCGGCAAAGCTTCTGACCCCACAACTAGAGCCCTAGTTCTGAGGTGACTTCTGCTGCCCCTGACTCCCCTCCCTCCACTGATGCCCTCTCCTTCCTGTAGTTCCAAGAGCTGTGAAGTAGGGTATCAATATACCTGTGTTCTAGTATTTTCCTCAACTCAAGCTTGATGAGGAGTGTGGAGGTATGGAGGGTGTGGGCTAAAACTGAAGAGAAGTCCAGGAAGAGAAGGGAGAGGCGATCTGAGAGGCAGGAAAGGCAACAGGAGCTGCTGCTACACGTGGCAAGTCAGAGAGGAAAAAATTCAGTCACAAGCAGAAAAGACCATGAAGTGAAGAGAGTGAGGATGACCTCAGCGGTCCACAGTGAAACAACATGGGAGGGTGGAGTGGCAGTTATCTTACAGAGGGCTGTGCGCTGGGGCAGGGAGTGGCCATGAGTATAGACTGTTCTTTGAAGAAGCAGGCTATGAACAAAGAGGAGGCAGCGAGAGCGGCCATCCCAGGAGCACACGAACAGGACAGACCCCAGCCAGGCTCCTGGCATCTCTCCCAGGCCAAGCTGAGCAGGATCTTCCTGGCAAAGGCTTGCTGTCAGTCCCAGCAGGAAACGCTAACCCAGCCTGAAGACTCAAATATTTGCTTGGCTCTGCCCTTCTTGTTCAAACAGGGCATCGCTTCGGGGATGGAGGCTGCTGCTACCGCCAGGAAGTAAGAAATCAGCGAGGGTGGAAACAACTGCTCTTGGGGCCACTAATGAATCCCCCAGACTCCCAAGCTGGTGGAATCCATTAGCTCAGTAAAGCAGCTAAATAATACCAGGCTCTTTTAGGAGACATCTGTTCAAACAAAGCCACCCTTTCCCCTCACACTGGACTCTATCCACTCTCTTTCCCTACTCTGCTTTGGCTGCATTAGTGAGTTGGAGCTGTAAGTTACTACCTCTCTCTACCCTAGGCCATATGACAGCATGCCACTGAAGAGGGTGTGTTATGTCATGACCTTGACTATGACTGCATGGTCTATGGAGGCTATGATCAGGGTGGGCTTCTTTTTGCCAGTGTGTAGAAGTCTGTGCGTGCTCCTATGGGCTTAGTTTCTCTCTCTCTCTCTCTCTCTCTCTCTCTCTCTCTCTCTCTCTCTCTCTCTCTCACACACACACACACACACACACACACACACACTCCCATGTCTGAGCACTCTCCTCTGGTGTCTACCCCACAACATTATGTCATGTGTAACTGTGTTATTTTAAGATCACCGGTAAGAGAACCATGTACTTTTCAAACAGAATTTATTTCCATGTTGTGATAAACTGTGAGTCTGTGTGTGATGTGAAACAGTGCTTTATTGGGTATGATTTGGTGGTTCACTGTGAGACACCTTTGTGTGTCTGTGCTTGCAATTACCATTGAAATTACCACTGTGAAATTACCACCGAATTTGCATGGCTGAGTTGCATAGTCTGGTCCTGCACAAAGGCTCCCTTCTGACAATACGATCATGTGATGCTGTGAGCTGGGTACTGTGCACACTGAAATCAGGGAGCACTGTGCTTGGCTGGGAGTCCTTATTGTCACTGCTCTAGTGAATAGAAGGACCTGAGACTCTGTTTTCCTTCCCAATGTGCCAGGGACCCTCTGAGGAGCATCAGGCCAGATGTGCATAGGCGTTGGTGGGTTGAAAAAACACCTCTCTCTTCAGCTGCTAGGTGAAGGGGCAAGCCTAGGACGGTCCGTCCGGGGGCAGAGGTGACACTCAGGAAGTATCAGATGCAGAGATTGGTGGAAAGAAAATGCCTGGAAGAATAAGCAAAGAGGGTCTCAATGGCCACCGAGCCCAAGGCAGAGTCTGGAAGCTTCAGTATGCAATGAGGTTTGACTGGCAGCTTCCACAGCCTCGGAATCACAGGGATGCTTGCTTAAGAGTCCCAGAGAGGTGATCAAAGGTTACATTTCTTTTCTTTTCTTTTTCTCCTCCTCCTTCTCCTCCTCCTCCTCCTCCTCCTCC